CTTAGAGTCATGGAAAGAAGCGTAAATCCTTTATAGGGGGACCTGGGAGGCTGCTGCACGTTAAACATTTCTGTGACCTGCTGACGTTTGCATTTAAAAGCTTCTGAGGGCGTAGGAAAGGCCAGTGAGGCTTTGGAGGCTGGCGGGGTCCCGAGCTGTCGGTACGCCGGAGGTCTGTGCAGGTTAGGACGAGTCAGTAAACGCCACATCCTAGGAGGGAGCAGAAAAATGAGGCTTTGGGGAGGTTCGCTGCGGAGAAAAATTTGTCTTAAAAATGTAATTCAGCAAATTCAGGGCCTGCGGGTGGACGTAAACTCTCTCCTAGCACCACACGCTGAGGTATTTTTGCAGCACAGTTGCATGAAACCTGGCCAGGGACAGGGTACGGTACGCTGTGAGCTGCAGGCTCTGCTCCAGCACCGGTCCCAGCCCTTTCCAGGGCCACTTGCACGGGGCTTGCCTGGTCCCCAGCCACTGAGCTGGCAGGCGCCGCCACCCCCGAAGGCGAGGGCAGAGCCGGGGGGCAGCGCGGGTGTTTGTCCTCTAGTTCAGCCCTGCCCCGCCGGCAGGACGGCGCCTTTCCCCAGCCGCCCGCCCGGACGGACGGAGCTTCTCCCAAGCGGACGCTCCTGCCACTGAGCCATGCCGGGGCCTGAGCGAGGCCAGACCAGAGCTGCCTGGGGGCTTGGAGCCGGGGGGCAGCGCGGGTGTTTGTCCTCTAGTTCAGCCCTGCCCCGCCGGCAGGACGGAGCCTTTCCCCAGCGGACGCTGCTGCCACTGAGCCATGCCGGGGCCTGAGCGAGGCCAGACCAGCGCTGCCTGGGGGCTTGCGAGGCTGCCTGGGGGCTTGGGAGCGGCTGCTTTGGGTTCGGGGGGGGGGTTTGTTGTTGCTTGCAGCTCCGTGAGCGAAGGCGAGAGCTGCGGCGTGGGCTCGTGTCGTACAGATGCCGTCTCTTCCTGGCCTGAGGAAGAGCAGACAGACGGCGTCTGCATGGGGAGGGGGGAGATGGGACTGAGGCTTCCCGGCCAAGCGAGCAGAACCATACGATGTCGTAACGATAACCTGTGTTTCCTGCAACTATCAAAAAAAAAAGTGCTCAGGAAAGCGTAAGGGAACCTAATTTTGTAAATGAGGACTCTAAAGTATCTTATACTGAAAAAAACCCCTTGTATTTTTCTTCTGTGAAGGAAATGTATCTCTCTTTGTTCTGGGGGGGGGGGGTTTTTTACTTTTTAAAAAAAAGCGAACTGAAATAAAAGCACAAGGGGCACCACCCACCCCAGGCGGCTGGCGCCTTTTTTTTTGTTTTTTGTCACCACCGCATGACCAGGCCGCAGCAGCGCTTTGCGCTGCCTTCGTGCCTCGCAGCATCCCCGCCTGATGCTAGAAACAGGACGCACTCGAATGCCTTTACTCTGGCGGGGTTTTTCTCGGGCGGAGGATGTTTGCTCCCCAGAGCCCCGTCCCGCTGCAGCGAGCTCGTGGGCTGGCGCCGCTTCCTTATTGCAGGTTTCAAAACGCAGAACTGCGGCCGCCGAGGCAGAGCAGCGAGGGGACGGGGGCCGCGCTGCGTGGCGCAACTCTGCCCGCAGCCGCCACCCCGGCAGCTCCCGTCTGCCCCGCTCACCGCAGCGCAAGGAGAGGCGAGGGTCTGGAGAGGGGCAGCAGGCTGCGCCTGCCCGGGGCTTCTGCACGCATTTTGTATGAGGTTCTTGCGGAGCGTCAGGTCTCGGGTTGAATGTAACCACGGGGAGCCGCAGCCCCCCAGACGCCCACCGACCGAGTGACAGAATCGTCGCTGCCGTTGCAAACCAGTGCTGCAAGGCTGCACCCGAGGAGCGCTCCAGACAGCGGGAGGGGGCGAGGATGCGCCAGGCAAAAACATGCTCTGCAAACACGAGAGAGGCTGGAGTACACAGTAAAAGCCAGTATCTTTACTTTAGTGAATGCAGGATACAAATATTTTACAACAACCTCTAGCATTTTCTTAACCATTTGATAAAAAGTTCACTAGAATATTTATTGTATATTGAAGAAAAAACAACACATTCAGGGAAAAAAATTGAGATTAACTTATTTTTTTCTTAAAAGATTCGTCTCAAGGATGGCAACAAAGTCCAGCTTGTGCCGCCAAACGGCTTATCATCATTAAACCGTGAACAGCTTCTTTGTGAACTGTTGACTACAAACATTTACCAAATACATAAATCTCTTTTAAAAAAGCCATTTTAAATATAGCAAAGCAGTGTTCTCTTGCACAGCAAAGTGAAGAAAGTTTCTACTAAGATTTAAACGTTTACATTTGTTAAGTCTTTCTTTCACATTCGAATTTAACTTCTTCCCGTGATAATTGTTAGGAGTTATTTTGTTCCTTATTTACTATGTATTTCTTGTGCGCACAGTAATTCGCAAGTTTCTGATGCATTAGTGTCCTTTAAGGGAAAGGCAAGGCTAAAGCGTTTTTCTCTGACGAATCCCTGATAACGTGTATTTTTAAACACCACAGCGATGGAGAGGTGATTTGTCACAACAGCAGATAAAAACCTCAAATCACTCAGACTTGAATGGGTTCAGACTGGGATCGGATCCACTTGCAACTTCATTCAGTAGAGTTAATTAAAAAAAGTGTTTTTTACCTGGTGAAACATCTGTGCTCTGTCGTCTTTTTTTTTCTTTTTTTTTATAAAACCTTTTTACAATTCCTAAAAAAGCATGTTCCAAAGTTAGTGACTCGTTATTAAAAATCAGGCCTCCCGTTTATCCCCCCGAGGCGGGCGGGCTGCGAGGAGCCTGGTTCTGCTGGGGCCGGGGCGGGCTTGGGGCACCGCCTGCGCGGGCCCCGCAGCCGCTCTGAAGAACTGGGGGGTTTAATTCATTGGTGCGATTTCAGTACAAACTCTAACCCTTACGTAGCTTTTTTCTTTAAGAAAACAGTAACCCTACTGTTTAAAAACCTGCATAGAAATAAAGACTATTGAGATACAGTCAGCAAAGCCATCTTATAAGGCACACAAGAAAATAGACAGTAAATGTGAATGCAGAACTCCCACTCGGATGTACAGCAAAGTTCATATGTGTGCATAAATAATGAAAAAATCACATAGCTTCTCAGAGCATTAAAAGGTTCTCTGAAGTGGTAAGTGATTTCAGTCCCTTCGGAAACAGGGCCGCCATTCGAAAGTCTCCTTCTCCTCTCCGCTTCTGTAACCGATAGCTAACTGCAGTAAACGGAGCGTAACTTCCAGAGGTGCGCGGCCGAATGAACTGAAACCTGGACGTTTTTAAAGTTCCCGTGACCACAGGAGCCGTAAGTACTGACCGTTCTTCAGTCGCACGTTAAAGCGAGCAGCCTGGGAGAGAGCTGTCCCCGTCGGATCTCCATCTCTAACCCTTGCAGTATCATAGAACGGATTTTTTAAATTACAAAAAAAATTAAAAAATTGAAGCCCAAGCAAAAATTTAATAAATACCAGGGATAACTTTAAAGGCGTCTGGGTGATACAACAGCACTGTAGTTTCTTCCCCAGAACTACCAGCAGAAAGGTTTTTCTGCGGCTACTTAATTTGGTTCCCAGTAAAGCGCTGCGGTGGCGCATGGGGGACGCCGAGACGCAGAGCAAGGACCTGGCCGGAGAGCAGATTTCGACAGGGCAAGAACGCTCCCTAGTGCGAAATCGGCTCTGCCAACCGGGATTCTGGCTCCCGAGACTTTTGTTTGGTGCCCAAACCGGGCTTTTGCCTGCTCCGACGGCCTGGCCTGAGCGGGGCCCGGAGGCTCCCAGGCGCGGCGGCGCGGCCCCGGCCGCCCTCGTCCCGGCGCGGGCAGACTGCGCAGCTGAGCTCAAGCCACCGAACCAAAACCCGCTCCCAGCGTGTGCCGACAGCCGCCGGATTCCTCGCTCCGTGTCACCGAAGCGGCAAAGAGGAACGGCAAATGTACTGCGGAGGCCGAGGCTTCATCCCAAACCACTTACCAACTTAAAAAACCTTTTGTGCTCATCTGATATGTGTTATTTCCCTAGCAGGAGAAAGTAGGTCAAGTTTTTCCACCGTTTGTTTTTTTTTTCCTCCTCAGAAGAGGCAGCTTTAAAATGATGCCTTAAAATGTGTCGTAACAGATTTTTTATATTTATGCAGGATGAACTTAACACCGGATTTTTTTTTTTTTTGCCACTTTGCTATTTATATACATATATATAAAATGTATAATGAAGCTTAACCATACAGCACAGAGATTACAATTTAACGGCACACATTCACCACCAGTGAGGGGGACAACCCCTTTATACACCCTCTGAAAAATCTGGATAATAATATTAATAATAATTAAAATCCAAAGAAAGTACAGTATATTTAACAAAATAGTAAATATTAAACAGTGAATACTCTACTTAATAAGGACCTCGCCTTTTTTCAAGTCGGCGTCAATCCACAAAAATATACTTTTTAATCTGGTGAACGTACAATACATAGGTACTTACACCAAAGGTGATAATATATTTAGGATGCTATATACACAAAGAGTTTGGCTCAAATTTAAATTTACATATAAGTGTTCATGGCTTATTTTTCCCCCAAGGTTCCGCCTGCAAGTTTTTCCTTTTCATCTTTGAAAGCAAAAACTAGAAAGTCAAAATAAGATAAAACTATACTCTACAAAAAAGCTACAACATACAGCTTTGGCTTATATAAATAATTCATAGCAGAATGTGTTCAAAAGTACTGTATATAACTTTATATATAGTCTTCAATTCATTAGGGTATTGTTTTCTTTAATATAAAATATACATGAGCTAAAATCCGTTTCTATATTTTTCAAAGGTATGAACGTAAAAACAAATTTGTCAAACATATTCCAATTATAACTTAATATATTAATTTTATTTTGTTAATGTTCTATTTTCTAGGCTAATATTTTCTGAATATTTCATGCGAGTTCTCTATGTCTCTCTTTCACTCATTAAAAAAATCACTTCTTTGACCCAATACACTATTTTTTTTTTTTTTTGCACGTGCAAAACAGGGTTTTTGTTGGTTTTTTTTATTTATTTATTTCTTATAGCATCAGCCCTTCTCCATGCACCCTCTGCAATAGAGACCCATGCCAGGTTGGGTAATATAAAGGTCATTTTATGTACAGTATTGCTTTCTCTTCTTCCTGCTTTTCTACTGCTCTGCTGCTACAAAGCATTATTTCTTAACTACGAGTAACCATACAGCTTGAATAAAACACACAGGGACGTTACTACAGGCGAGCCCTCTCGGTTTCTGCAATCTAGTGTGGTAGGATTATAACGCGGGTACAATGTTTCCTTGCAAAACAGGTTATATTATTAAAACGACAAGTCCAGGTAAATGCCAGGCTAGATCAATACCTACAGGATTGTTCTGTTACGTTTTACCATGGGACATCTGCAGCTATACAAGAAGTTTGTCATAAGTGCCTGATGATTCTGTGTATGCTACACACACTAGCACATATATATGCATGTGAAGATATATATATGCATGTATGTATATACATATAAATATACTTATTTCATGTCCTTATTTATAAATTTAGATATGTCAGGACAGTTCATTTTGAGAACACAAAACTGGAGAGGCAACACTGCGAGTTTATGTCACCCACGTGTCCATCCTCATTCGTTTTACCGATGGACTCTCTCTGTCTTCGGAATTCGGTGGCCTTCCCAGCACGACAGGTGAATGGAAGTCGCTTCTCGGGTCTTCCCGGTCGCTGCCGTCGTAGGAGCTGCTGGAGCTGCTGAGGCTGTCGACAGGAGAGCGGCCCAATTCCTGCCGCGACTGCTGCTGCTGCTGCTGCTGCTGCTGCTCCGGCTGCGCTTGTGGCTGCTGTTGCGGGAACCCCGAGGGAGTTACGCGGTCCCGGGGAGGTGAAATTGGTTCAGATTTTATGTTGATGTTTTGGTTGGTGTTAATGGATAAATTTGAACCCTGAGATAGCTGGCTGCCAGTACTGGGAAAAAGAAAACCAAAAGGCAGAAATAAGAAAACACGAAAAAGGAAAAGAAAGCGACGGTTTGCGTGTCTGTGTGGTCTTGTGGTTCAGCACCCTCAAAATGAATATGTAAATAAGCGCAACTCACTGAATGAAAAAACAAAGTTGAAAAAAGCATCAATTAAAGGTCTGAACGCAGTTATAGAAGTTGAAAACGAAGAGGAATCTTTCCAAACGTTTAAGATCATCATGGGGGTCACTCCTTGGTAAGAGGCTGGGCCGGCAGGGACACAGCTCGTCGGCTCGAGCGCTGAACTAACTGAAAACGGGGCACACAACACGAAACCTGAAGGCTTTTGCAGCCAAGGAGCAAACTGGAAAGGCAACGGACCATCGCCAGCAGACAAGAAATTAAAATGGCCTTGTGCTAAATACCCGCCAGTGCAGGTTATTCAGCCTGAAGTGGCGGAAGCTGCCGAGCGGGCGCAGCGCCGCGCGGTTCCCAGGGTACTTACACGAGAGAGCTGAGGGCTGCTGGGCCCAGATGGTGCTGCTGCCAGGCAGAGACCTGCCCCAAAGACAGCATTCCCGGGGAGTTAAAGCCCTGCAAGGCAGACAGGTCCGCACTGGTCAAGGAGTAATCTAAGAGGGAAAAACAAATAAACAAGAAAGTAGTTTATACATTTATTTTTTTATATATACATACATATATATATATACATATATATATAAAACCATGTGAGAATGTGTGATAGACACACACAAATATAAAGGCTTTCTGCCCAAAACAAATAAAGGCAAGTGACCCAAAGCAGTGCAAACATGAAAACTTTGAAGCCTGGGAGGCGTCCTCCTAACTTCCCAAGGAGCTGAACAGGACAAATGACCTCCGAATGACCATTTTCTGCATTCTGCTTTCTATTCCTACATGTTGCAGTCTCATAGAGCTTCTTCTAAAGCCACAGGTACAACATATTTACGCGTTTTTGTATATCTATGTGCATCTTACAGTAAGACAAGGCTTCGCACTTTTGAAGGTTTTAGTCTGCATGGAAGTTTCAAAATGAAACCTCACATTCTCCCTTTCCCCGCAGTAGCCTCACTTGTTCCTTTATGTCTGATTAAACTGTCATCTCTCTAGCAAATAAACAAAAGAAACCTCTTGATTTAGAACAAAAAGTTGTAATTATTTAGAAATACAACTTAAGTGGATAATAGAAAATACGAGGTATTCCTCATCAACAGTCAGTGACTGGCTGTTAGTTTTGGCTGGGCTGTAATGCTTAGGCAGTTCTCACTTCATTCACACAGGGGAAGTTATTTTCACTTTCTCATTATCACTCATGCTTTTCTTTCAGGTTTTAAAACAAAGCCGCAAACACTTCTCTGCTTTTAATTATTTTGTAATATAGCTTCCTTAAAATAGTTTCTATTCTCTTGAGAATGCGACAAAACGCTAGCAGCCAAACTTGTTTTATACTGCCAGCAGATGAACCAAAAATTCTGCTCAGGCAGGGCTTGTGCTTTGTTGTGTGTTTGGTTTTAGGTTTTCTGGCTTTGTTCTTTTTGGGGGGTGGGTGTGGGGGTGTTTGGTGTTTTGTTTTTTGGATACTTTCTTTCCCCATTCCCATCCACCAGCTTGTTCGCTGGGGACACCTCCAAGGTTTCCCCTTTAGCAGCCTGCAGAGGCAGGAGAGCCAGGCGCCAGCGGGGCACCGTCCTTTCCAGAGATGCACGTGCGTCACTGCAAGAAGCTTCCTGAAGACCTTGGGAAGCCCAGCGGCACCCCAGCAAGTGAAGCTGCTTACGCTGCCTTTTTTTCTTTTTTTGCTTTATTTCTTCTCAGTTGACATTTCTATTGGAACTCTGAAAAACCCTCACAAGTATTTCTGCACAGATACAGAAAGATTTTTCCCAAGCTGATCAATCCAAAGCCCTTTTGCAAGACTAAAAATAAAATAAAATAAAATAAAACAAAACCAAACCCAGCCCTCCAAAGCCTAGGACACGCACTCAGCCTTCAGAGCAGCCAGCCCTATGACAATGTGCAAGTGTGGTAAATGTAAACCCTTGAGCTGGATGTGCTATTCTGTGCCAACGGGATTTCTGTAAGAGCAAACCTGAAAAAAACATTTATAGGAATTCAGTTTCCACGTATTTTTTCTTTGCAATTACAGCTTTTATGATAATGGACAATTAACTTCTGGTACTTTAGACAGAACGTGTCTGATGACAGGGGTTTGAGATACTTCTCCAAAGACTACACATGCCACTACACAATTAGCTGCATTATCATCTCCCTGAATAATCACGTACCTGCGAGCAGTAAAAGCAGGACGCCAATTTCTATACATGAGTGGCTTGATGCAAGATGGAAAAGTCGTTCAGACAAGAGAGTGCCTTCTCCGCGATGGAAACCATTACTGCTGTGACCCTAACAACCAGATACCTTTGAAGTTTGTGCCTTTGCAAAATAACTGACCTAAAGCCAGTAAGATCATTTATGGCTAGATATGCTCTGTCAAGTGTAGGTTACTATTTAACTGATCTCTGTGGGTTTTGAGTATTTTTTTTAAATGCCTAGATTGCTTTAGAACAAGTAACTCGGTTCCTTCTGGCCCCTCCTCCAGCAATCTGCGGAAAGAATATTTCTCCAGGAAAACAAACTCTATAGAATAGTATATCTGTGCAAAACTGACATCCAACATTCTAATTAAGGATCTAAGAGCTGAATCTATCCTTTCCAGCGCTGAAAAAACCCCTATCAATCCAGAAAAACAATTTAGGTATCTAAATTTTATCTTAGTCCTTGGACTGTAAAACTGAAATTGCTATGGAAGTAGTGACTACCCTGAGAATATCCAGATGACAATTTAGTTTTAACATCAAATTTCTTTTTGCAAATCGCCTGAAAGGCTCAATCTAATAGAGACAATTTAAAAGTGTCTGAAAAAACACTAAAGGCTAAAAGCTTTTCACAAATTATTGCATTATCAAAGGAAACGGGCTGGTTTTTGAAATCATACCCCCGTGATAACAGCACTGGTCCGTTGTGCAGGACACCGGTTTCAATTGTCTTTGCTGCCTCCCGAGACTCAGACCTCGGTCCCCTCGCCCACAAAGGCTGCTTTAGCCATCAGCTTAAAGGTTTTTCTGGATGAGGGACGCGCACAAGAGCGCTTCCCGAAACACCATCAGACTGCGTGAGAGAACGAAGGGATCGTTCGGTGACAGGTACAACTCAAGGTGGGTCTTCGGAGCAGGGACCAGAACTATTTGTTTACTTTAAACAGCCACTAAATGCAATATATAAACAACCTTTGTGGCAAGTATCAAACCACGATCTGTACGTCCAGCAAATTCACATTTAAGCTCATAATCCAAGACAAGTCACCAAGCACAACTCCTCGCTCTGCTCATTACTGTCATTGCAACCCCATCTTCTCCTCCATTCGCTTGTTTAGACTTTAACCCCCCTCAGGGTGGCAATTATTTGCATAAATGTTCACCAATGCAGTTGGGTGCTACGGCAGCATCGGTATTTACTGGTGCTGTGACTAAAACGGGCCCTCTCAAAATGCAGACCTCGCACACACCAGTAACTGTCGTGCCTCTGGGGCAAACCAAGGCAGAAAGGGGCTGGAGGGCACGAAGTATCAGGTAACGAGCACATCGATAGAAAAAGATACAAATACAACAAGACGTGAGCTGTTTGGCTGGAAGATGGCTACAAGTCTAAGCTAAAGACTGTAGGGAAGGCTTTCAAAGCTAAAACAAGTGGAGAAAATGTATAAAATCACATCTTTTTTTGTTGGGAAAATTATTACGAATGGATGGCTACTCTATCCCATCTTTCCACATCACATACCCCTGATTGGGCCCCACCTTGCAGAAAATAAAGAAAACTACAAAACCTCCGCATCGCTCCGGTTTTAGCTGTTTTCTACAAACCTTGAAGGTTTTTTTTTTAATTTGTCCTGACCTTTGCACAAGAGTAAGAACATTAGGTCACTGACGACAGACCCACGCAGCGTTTTTTACCCTTTCTTAAATATATTATCAGAGAGGCCGCCAGCGCTGCTGCTGGGCTCAGCTTCGGGCAGCAGCAGGTATATTGTGGAGCCGGCCGAAACGCATTTTGTCCGACACCGGGGCAGCTCCTGATGTATTCTGAGGGAAGCCACCCTGCAGCACGCGTGTCCTCGTCCCCCTTCCCCCCACCACTATCAAAGCCAAGTAAACCCCGCACAGCGGCTCCTCAAGGAAAAGCCATTTATTCCTTCCTAGCACGCCCTCCACTGCCTCCCGGCTTCCTGAGCGTCTCGTGCCTGCCAGCTGCTTGCGTACAGCCGTCAAAGATGATACAGGGCGAGGGGAGAGACGCTGCTGGGGAATTGCCTCTACAGGAGACGTGGATCTTCCTAGCAAGGAGACAAGCCCTTCTGTCTAGCCAGAGAGCCAGAGCTGATCAGCTATAAAGGGAAGGTCTCTCGTGTAGCTCAGTTCCTAAGAGCTATCATTGCAGAAGAGAGAAGCAAGATTTTTGTTTTATTTTTTTAGAATTCAAAAGTCTACCAAATAAGACAAATAATGCCAACACAGTGGTTCCCAGTTCAGAAATTCCTGGTTTAACAAATTACAGCACTTACACTTGAATGTCTTCACTAGACTTCATCTAAAAAGAACAGCGAACTGGGGAATTATTTCCTTTCTTGTCCTTTTTAGTTTTAACCAATAGCTATTTGAACTCTGACTTACAAAACTTATTGACACTTATCTGCAATGTAGTTTCTCTGCAGGTGCATTTGAAAATTAAACTATGTATCGCAGATCAATGGTAATCAACCTGACACCATCACGGCTGCAGCCTTTCAAGGAAACGATTACAAAAATTCCTTTACTGATTACGTACAGGGTCTGTAACAAACAGAGAACCTGGAGACTGAAGTTAAAATTATCTCTATTGGTATGGAGACAAAGTAGGACACCACATCACGAACTACTGTCCAAACCAGCAAACCAACTATCACTTATATGACCAAATTCCTTGCATCACACCCATCTTGGATAAAAAGTCGCTTTGAGGTCCTTCAGATATTAGAGACTCGCAGCGGTGAAATGCTGACAGTGCCTCCCCGTGAGTCCCCACCTCACTCCTAATAAAACTACTGAAGAGGAACAGGCCCTATCTGGGCTTTTTTGTAAACTGAAAGCCCTGGCAGAATCCGATTCCCTCCTGCTGTTGGCCCTGAGCAGAGCAGAGCGACAGGGACAGTGTGCTCTGAAGTATCAACTATGGCTTAAATGTGAGGCATTTCAGTTCTCAGATAGCTTGAATACCACTGCTCTAAGCAATGCATTTTATTCTGTCTGTCTCTGTATTCAGCTGTGTGCAACCTGACTGAAAGCTGCTTCCTGATGCAAGTCTCAACATTTACACATTTTACAAGCTAAAAGCTCATTTTTGATGAATAAGAGCCTTCATTTGAACTGAATAGGAAAATAAAGTGAAGTGTCACAGAAATGCAAATTTTCTGGGCTTCTGAATCACAAAAGCCTTGTACATCTGACAAATCAAGCCACTTATTAAAAAAAAAAATGCTTACCAGTGTTGTAGGCAGTAGGCATGGCTGAATACACCAATCCCTGCGGAGGCAAGCTCGGAGTTGTCACAGACACCACAGGGGTAGCAAGAGGCTGTGTAGTCTGAGAACTACTTATCCTTTGGGTATTCTAGAAATGATTAAAAATAACAACATGTCTTGTGATATTAGTTAGAACAATGGAAAAAAATCAAGTGCTAATATAAAAATAGCATTCAATTAAAATGTTTCTTTGCTTTATTTTTTAGTTACGAATACATCCTTTTTGTCGGGGTAGATTTTGTAAAGAAGCCAAAACATTTCAAGACAACCAAAACGGTCTTGGCAAACTGAAATGAAAAATTAAGACTCACTGGTCCGCTTCCCGTGCATGCAGATTTCAACAGTGTTAAGAGTTGCAGGACAAAAATAAATGCAATTTCTTAGGGATATACACAACAATTCTCAGAAGTTCTTAAGTGATTTAAGAGGTTTTAGTCTTATTTTTTAAAGGGGTTTTAGTGCAGATGGTGAGGTGCAGTTCCACCAGAAAAGTCTCCCACTTCCCAGCTTTTTATCCAATTTTCAAAATTTAAGCTGCCAGTTTTGACACTGTGCTGACTACACCTGTCCTGAGAGGAACACAGAGATCTTCTGAATTTCTGTTGATAAGACCTCCGTGATAAAATAATCTCGCTGTTCCCAAGGTTCCTGAGAAACTGAGAGAGTACTTGTTATAATGTGGCTATGTTTCAAAGCGAATGACATTTGAGTTCACACAGAGCAACTGTGCTTTTTGACAGGAAAAATAGCTAAACTAGATTGTCTCAGATTATCTAACTGTAGGCACGATGTGCCTTTTTAATAGCAGTCTGTCTTTCCCATAGACCGGAATGAACATCTGTAGCAAACATATCACTCAAATTAAGCTCTTTAACCAAATTTGCTGTTTAGAAAACCTCGTATGAAACGCTGGGGTGAACACCACCAGACAGCAGAGCTGCTCTGTCACAGAACGTACTACCCTTCATGGAGGCAACTTTAACTCTTTCTTCAAAATATGTAGTTCAACACCATTTAGCCGTGCCAGATACTGTCAAGAACAGGAAACGCTACATTTTTTATTTTTAAACAACAGATACTTAGTTTTACCTACAGAAGTCTTAGAAATACTAGAAGTAGTACAAGTCTCTACACCCTGTATTTCTACATTCTTACAGAACCATTCCCGATTAAGGGAGCTGGATTTCAAACTGCTGAAAATGTGCTTTTAAAGCAAGCCTCCCTCCACCTCTGAAAAAAAAAAAATTGCTACAGAAGTAGCATGTTTTCATCTCTTTGGTAGAGTTCCATTTCCTAGCTTTAAAAGATTGAAGCTACTATTACTTTTTTCTTATTTTGGACAAATATACAAGTATTTCAGTGTCTGCAACACTTAATTTTTTTTCTCCACTCTGATCTTGAGAGAGTGAGCAATATTAAAAATACACGATTCCCTTTATAATAGTGGAATGAGCAGGTACAGCAACGTGGCTCTATTGACTTTTAAGCTTAAACCTGCTAAGGTGAATTGAGGGCTATCAACCCTTGGTTTGTATCTTTCCAAGTTAAAGAAAAAACATATACCACAGCTACCATATTAAAATTAGCCACAATCTTCCACTGGCCACCAGCTTCTGATCTTGGGTTTTTTTGGCTCCTATTTGAAAGCCCAGCTTTGAGCCTCATCAGAATTTGGAGGCTCTTTGGCATTTGCTCAGCAAACGTACCTGCTCTGCTTCAGAGCGCCCAGATTTCAAAGCCTCAAGTCACAGAGAAAGTCCCACTGATTTTCTGTCCGATTTATCCCTTTAAATCATTTATGTACTTCTGAAAATCTCCACTAGGCCAAGTTTATCTGGCATAAAGACACGTTATTAGAGCAGATTTTTGTGTCTGTCAGGAATTGACCTTTTTCCAAAGCTTTCTTGGATGGCAGCCTATAAAGTTGGGATTACTGTATAATGGAAAAGTTAGAGGAGCATACTGGGAAACAATCCAGACCAAAGGATTTCCCCATGGGATTTTTTTTTTTTTTTTTTTTTATTTTGTGATAAAGGTGGTTTTCTGAGGTAATTTCTTTCTGAATATAATTCCTGATCACTCAGCCATAGAAAGACACCAAGAAATTTTTAGAATCATCCCAAAAGAGTTCCCCCTGGGGTTTTTTTTTTTTTTTTTTTTGAGTGGCTGATAAAGGTGGTTTTCTGAGGTAATTTCTTTCTGAATATAATTCCTGATCACTCAGCCATAGAAAGACACCAAGAAATTTTTAGAATCATCTAATATTTGTTGTACTCGGAGATTCAGCCAAAGATTCATGACAACTTTGGGGATTTTTTAAATTATTTTTTAAACTGGTGCAAACGATAGCAGCAACAGGAAGAATTCAATATCTTTACTTCATGCGATGCTACCGTTCCTATCTGTTTTTCATATTCAGTGCTCCATTCCAACCATACAGAATAAATGCTCACAGACGTGATTTGGAACTGCCTTCTAGCGCTGGAATTAGCATCAGCAATGAGCATAACAAGAGACGTAGCATTGCAGGTGTACTTCGTATTTCTTTACCACGTTTCAGGAAGACACCACTACATCTTCTTTGTGTGAGCTCTCTTCCCCTAACAGATGAGCCCGGTTTTAATACCACTAGAGGGCCCACGCTCCATACAGTATCCGCAACCCAACCCGCCTTCAGCAAGTTGCACTCTTTCACCCTGCGAAGAGCATAGCAATTTTTAGCAGGTAGGAATACCTTAACTCGAGTGCTTTTGCGTAATTCCAGTTGCAATGCTATTTTGATTAAGTGTATTTACATTGAATTAAAGCTCTATTTCTTGCACTGGAAACCAGACGCTCCTCTATAAAGGCGAGAAGAACATGCATGACAGCTGTTTATAACCGCAAGTCATTCCAATAAACCTTAAAAACTTAAATACTGATTTTCAAAAATAATTCCCTCTTTCTTACTTTTGTAAATCTATTGCTCATGTTTAAGGTAAAAATCAACCAACAGCATGCATTCATCGAGGAATTTATCTAAATCACTACATTTTCCATGCTTTCATGCAATTAGAGCCTCATATTAGCAACAGGTCCATGTTCAAAAACAAATCAAGGTATGTCATAGGCAGACTTCTTTGTGTGTCTTTACGATCGCACTCTGATGCAGCATCTTCTGCATGGTTTCTGCTACAGCAGCTAAACAATTTGCAAATTGCTGTAAAAATAAGTTATGAATTATTTTAGCCTTATGTTATTTTCCAGACAGAATGCCAAACGTTAAAACCTTTTGGAAAAAAAAAGAGAAAACACAAATCCCAAGAGTTTCCTTTCAAAGGCAGAATATCTTTCCACTGGAAAAAGGTAGAATTATTCATTTGCAATTCTCTATTCCTTTTGGTAAACAGGGAACACCCCTGTGGTTTGATAATCTCACGCAGGATGAAATAATTCTAAACTCCAAAAAGGTGACCTCACCAGCAATGATGTAATCTCCTTGAAAATAAGAGAAGTAATACAGGGCTTGTGTTACAATCTGAAGAACTTCAGGAGTGAAGCCACTTTCTAAAAATATTCCAATCATTTAGGGGATGATAAGTGGCTATTTATATTTTACATAAAAGTCAGTAAATATCCTATACACATGGACAGTTACTCTGTAAGGCTCTTTTCCAATGTTCCCTCCAAGAAAAACAGAAATATTTTCAGGAAAACAAAATAGAAGTTTACAAATGGAAAGCACTAGACTTTGGATGTGTTTTCAACTTGAATTGGTCGGGTTTTGAGTTTGATAAAACAAATGTATTTTTGTCTGCTACCAAGGGAACACTGGAATTATTTAAAATATGTAATGAAACTACAGTTAAAAAGCTGTAGTGAGAGACATTTTCAGCATCTTGCTCTCTCTCATCAAACAGTAGCCCAAACTCACCAACTCCAATTCATCCTCCTCCGACTGTACTCAGCAAACAAGAGGGATAACACAGTTACTAAAAATAGCATTGCTTTCAAAAATGAAAGAAAAATTCACATTTGTGCTTCAGGATTTTTATTTGTTTTCATTAATAATATGAATTTGCCACCTGAATCTGTAAATAATACTACCAGGAAGTATAATACCTTATGTAATTTGGGTCAATTAAACAATACCGTACTAAAAGAACACACGCTTTGGCAAAATTAGTGCAGAAAGAGCCTAGTGAAAACAAGGACACAGCTACACACTGACGACGTGTAGATATGGAGCACAGCAATTTCTGGCTGGACTGATCCAGTAAACATCCAGCTCGGTAACAAAATATTTTCCACATACAACCATCATACCATCCCAGCATCTCTACTCTGAAATCTCTTTCCAATTTCCTCAAAAAGACAGACAAAACCTAAACTGAATATTATGTTGTGCTTAACACCACAACGGTAAATGGGTACTGTACGCTACTAACGTTAGAACAACTGCATTCTTGTTAACATTGCAATGTTAACAACTCCTCTTCTTGTATCTATTCCTAATTAATTTAAAAGTGTAATTTTCACTTTAATAATCAGCCAGTGTATTTCCTATGTCTTCAACACTTCAGTATTCCTAGAAAAACCTAAAACTCCAAGAATCATTACTCTGAGGATAATTATAGCTTTTGTTACTTGCATTAATTTTGTATTATTCCTCATGAATACCAGTAACAAATGTAAGCACTTGTGGTATCTTAAAAACAAATAAGAATTATATAGAGAGTACTTCTATTGTTTATATGCTGCTCCTCTTGGTTATGGTTCATTCTTCCATACACATAGATGTTTAAAATTTCTACATGACAGTGAAAGACTAAGACCAAAGGATCTGGCCAACCAAATTAAAGGAAAAATAGAGTAACTCTTCCTGAAAGACCTGTTCTGGTCTCAATGCTGTGGTTGCCTCATGCCTGACACGAAACTTGTGTGCTATTCCAAATCTAGGCCGAACAAACATTACTACCAACATGCCAAACTGCACAGTAGTATTGAAAAGTACACAAACAGGGACGGAGCCTGATCCTCATTACTCTTTTATGCCTTCATTGAAGACATGACATCCACCATAGGACACACAAGGTTGCATTCCAGCACACCACATCAAACAAGTGTTTCTCTCAGACCATCATTACCACTGAAGTTACATTTCACATCCCACAACCATTACGACCCAGGAAAAACAGGTACAAAGTGTGCTTTAGGGCATGTTAATACAGTTCACATCACCAATAAGATCAGCCATTCCTCTACAGAATAATGCATAACCCTTTTTAAAACCCACATCCTCCAAACCAACAAAGTTCTCAGTACCAAGTCAGTGAGATGGCATACCAAAACAACAAAATCCCAGCTATGTCTCTAGGATCACACTCTAACCGCATTCAGGTCAGACTGCTATTTTACACTTTAAAAAAAAAAAAAAAAAAAAAAAAAAAAAAAAAAAACAAAAAACCAACAACTCCTTACAAATTTAACTTCTCCCAAGGTAACAACTCATAACTTAGATTTTCATTAGTGAAATTTCAGAATACAAACGCCCTTCTGTTACTGTAACCTACAGTAAGCAGATGAGAGAGTTTCTCCCTGTGCATGTGGACAGAACACTTCATTTTTACAAAGCCAGGCATAGAACAAATGTTTTAACTTACCAATGGTGGCATCATACCCTTGCTGGAGGGCGGGATGACAACACGGAGGTCGGGTTTGCGATTGTTCATGCCAAGATTACCTCCTCCAGGTGGAGGTGGAGACTTTGTAGGCATGACTTTGCCTAAGCCATTCCCACCAGCAGTAGTGCCGAGCAGACTTGGTGAAGCTCGAGAATTCACAAACCCATTTCCTGAAAGAGGAAAACCAAACGTACCGTAAGACTGAAGAGAAGTAGCAATACAAAACTTTGGTGCACATACACGAATTACAAAATATTTCTTTTGTAAAACTTCCAAAACCCAAACTTCTCACAAGAAGCACAGTATTGAATAATTGAACAAACAAAACCCACTTTCACCAGAAGATCAATATGTAAAGGTAATATCGCCTCAAGGGCACACTGTGGCAGCTTAAACGCTGAGAAGAGCATATTGCCAAAGAACTATTTCTAATAACATCTGTTGTGTTTTTTTATTTTGCCCTTTTAAGTTCCTCCAGGCTGACCTTGCAAAAAAGTGTGGGCTTTTGCACAACCCGCTTCATCCCCACCCCCACAGAACATGAACTATACTGAACTGTTGCCTGTGAGAATAAAAAAAATCAGCTCTTGAAGTCTCTATTTCTAAAATGTATTCTTCAAATATCTTCAAGATCTGCAGGACTCCACTCCCATTTATATTCTCTAATAAAATGAATTTCAGTCTCAAAAATATATACTGTCTGACTGTTATATTTAGCAACAATGAGGGGAACAAATCCTTTCCCTTCAAATTCATTCCAAGCTCTGAAGATGGATATATACATCATTTATGCCCACAGATTTATTTTACACAGGTCTTTCTCTACCTTACTCCTGATACTCACTCTAAATAGAATTAGACAAGCCAAAGCCTATACAGGTCCTGGCTTCAGCACCGAAATCTCCAAGAGCTGAACACGCTCAAGATGCAGGCCTTAGCGTACACTCAAAACAGATCAGAAAAAAATAACAAGACAGTAAAACAGTTAACTGCCCAGTATTCTATTTTCCTGTACTAACAAAAGCACCAATCATGTTAATCAAAATGTATTTCTCAGAAAAAAATTTAAAGCCACTTTCCAATGGTTTTATCATAATTTATAGCAACAATTCCCAAAATACACAGCCCTTATTCAGCTGCAAATGAAAAAAAAAAAGTTGTTAAGCGAGGGGAATTTCGCAACAGGGAACCCTATAGTTCACGCTACAGAACTTTTGTGTGTGTGTGTCTAAATAAATACAATTCATAGTAAGATTAGGTTTATATCAACATTACAGTTCTGAAAGCAGCCTTTATAGTCACAATTCAGGGAAAAGTCTCTTACACAAAGTTCACTGTGTGGGAAATTCTTTTCTAATAGCCTGTAGCGCCATACCGGCATGAATTTTGTATTATTATTCTAATTTGAATAGGCCCCTATGCCCAATCCAATTTTATTACATTAAGTACATATTAATCTAAAAGCCATTAAAATAAGAAAGTTGTCAGTGTCACGTTTTACCTTCGTTAGCAAAATTTTTAATGCCTTTAAAAGCTTAGCAAGAGTGAAGAACGATAACATGTACCAGTGACAGCACAACGCTTCATGAAGGTGACCGGTGCTGCTAAGACACTTAGCTAGTCTATGCTGAGAACCTGGGTGTGAATTCAGCGGGATGCTAACGAGGGAGCCTCCTCCGTTACTACTGATCCTTGTACATAGCGAGGGAACGGCCAAATGCAATCCTCACCTTTTCCCTGTCCACCGTAAGTGGAATCCTCCATATTGTTTTACCAATTAGAAATGGAAAAAGCAAAGATTAATGTAAGAATTATAACAAAGCTCTCGTGATGATCTGAAGATATTCTACTGCGTTTTATAAAGGTCTTTTGGAAAGGAAGTTATTGCTAAATATTTTTAAAGAAAAAAAATTTAAGTAGGTAGAGCTTACTGGAATTTGCAACCACGGTATTCTTGTTCGCATATGAATAAGCAGTAAATTCACAACTCTAAAGCCAGGATTTCAAATTCTGGATTTGCTTTCTTTGTGGATTTCCTACTGTGCCAAAAGCCTGACCATACATGGATGATCTGATGTGTCCCTTGAGTTTTTCAAGGTTAACAGAGCAAGGAAGAGTTATTCTAATTTAGTACCTTCCTGAAGCATTTGTATGGGAGGTATGGGAATACGTTTTCTGAGAATTCTACCATTTAACTCAGAAGTTATGGGGGAAAGAAGGAACACAAACAGCAAAAAGAAGAAAAAGCTTTTTATGTCAGCATTCTTCCTTCTGTATTAAAAACCACAGTAAAAACTCATTTCGTGATTAAAGCATCTACACGCCTCAGCAGAAAATAGCAGAATTTATTGGGATGCTTCTAGGTTAGCGATAACATTTAGTTAAAGTGGCTGAAAAGTTGGCCTAAATATATTCTTGACTGCTAGGAGAAAACTGGCCACAGCTAGGTCACACAGAAAAACCAACCAGCCAAAAAAGAGAAATTAAGTTCTGTGCTACCCCTAAGGTTCCTGAAACTGTGAGATAGTTTTCACAGAATCATGGTTTTGTTAAATACAGCTATGCATCAATACCTGTCCATTATATATGAGTGTAAATAGTAGTTACAGACAGCCTACATAGCATCAGATTGCAAGAGAAATCTTGCACAATGGACAGAGTAAAAATTAAGTGGATTTGGAAACAGATTTGAGGGAGGAAAAATTATGAGAAAACAGCATAATTTTCACCAAACTGTATCTAAAAAATTGTTACAGTATCTTCCATTTTCAGCAAAAATGCCAGAACATTTAAAGAACTTACTGTTGTAAAAACGTAAAGTCTGGGCTTTAATCTAATAATAAATAGCATTTTGTTACTCACTGGGCTGTCAGTGTTACCTTTCCTATGCCAAAGCTGCGGTGTCCCGAGTTGAATTTAAACTTCAGAACAATAACACTTTGTATAAACAATGGAGTTCTGTACAGCATTTTAGTCCATCCTATGATACCATTTCCTGTCCTCTGTTTTCAAGTATTTCGGTAGCTCGTGTGTTAAATCTGGACAGTGTCTTTCTTCCACACCCAACACAGTCATTTCCTGCAGCCCTTATTACAAGGCTCTGCCAATCCTTCAGAAACATTTCATGCTTTCAGTGGTGCTGTCAAAAACAACAAACTCCTTGCCATTGCCTTCTCTGCACAATATCATTCAGCAGCAAGGCAGAGTCAAAGCATTTGCTCTGACAAAAGGCTGAGCATTTCTTAAAATGAGTGTTTAGAAAGAATATATTAAGAATGGGAGAAACAAAAAATGTTCTAAGTGTGCAATACTATGGCTATTAATCCAATAGCAGCCCTTTGTTATAAACAGCAAGCACTGAACATTTAGCAAACACTGGAGTATCTATATTGATTATTTGAAGAATCATATGCTGGGGCTGCAATAAGGCTGTAGAATATTCATTTTTAATATGAAACTTAAAGCCTTTTTTTCCTGTTAATAATCCAATAAGAAAATCAAATTACACGTTACGAGTGAAAGGATAACTAAAAGCATGGTATTTCTTAGAGTAAGGTCAGGAGCCAGAAAAAGATAATGATTACAGGATGATGCAACTATACGGCAGTTTGCCAAACTGAGGCTTTAATAACCCCATAAATTCTACTTACTATTTTGTATAGTACAGAAATTGTATCTACCCCATCCACTATAGATCTTCCCCAAAGACGATTACTTTATGTTTAAAAACACTATCAAACTGAAAAATGGAAACAGACTATAAAACCCCACGTAAGTGTAAAGTAAGACCACTGCTTTTACTTCTATCGGCAGAGTTTTATTTAACTCTCTAATTCTTTAAAACAGACTATGAAAGCATGTTCGAAACACTTCTTTGGAAAACAGACACCAATGCGAAGATGATAAGCTCTCAATTATATGAATAATAATTTAATTAGATTTTATGATAATAAGCATTGCCAACATACATTAGCCTACTTCTTGTTTAGTCAGAAAATGTTTACTTTTGAAGTAACTTCTTTTCTGAAGCTAAATGTTAAACCCCACCCATTCTAACTACCGTATATTCTGCCTTCAGAAATGTAATACAGCTTAATCTCATTTGTTGTCCTGCAGCCCAAGACGTAGCATTCAATTACATGAGCCAGACTCAGATTTCACTATATAAATCACATCAGCTGAAACAATTAACACACGTGGCTGGAAAGTACTCCATGTACTTATTACTACTCAAGGAATAAATTACAGTCATTGATGCCATTAATCTTTTTTGTGGTTCACCTTTGGAGAAACTGAACAGTTATACAGAGTTTTGGAAAATAATTGCGGACAAGCAGCTAAGCAATGCAAGATTAAGCAAAAATAAGAACAGTAGTAAATAAATACTTATGCCTCAAATGACATCATGCAATCCAACAAATGTCACATAATTAGAAGTAAGCTGAAAATTGCGTTTGCAGTAAGTCATCGATTCACTATGCATCTAGAAGACCAGATAAAAATCTATTAAAGAAAAACACTTACATGTAGGACCTTGGCGGGATACACACACACACACACACAGAGCCAGCAAATACAACAATAGCATTTCTATGTGCATTAGTTGCTCAATTTATTTACCTTTTTTTTTTGAGTATGACAGCTTTAAGTGGACATTAAAAAAAAAACAAAACAAACACACAAAACAAAACAGCATATGCCATTCATACCATTTTCAGCTTTGCACAGAAATCTCTACCGATTCTACCATTATTTCAAAAGGCCTAAGTTCTCTGCTAGCTTTGGAAAGAATTTACTGTAACATCTCAAGGAAGCTGAAATAAATGTATTTGCACTTATCTTTACAAATCAATACTTCCGATAATACTATGATTAGAATGAAAATACACCTTTGACAGTAATATAAGATTTTGAAACATGTTTAACATGTAAGATTTATACTTCTAAGGCAGTACTTTAGATATTAAAATGCAGCAAAAAATATACGTGACTAAGTGTCAAGGGAATGCTTACTCATGTTACAAAATTAAAAAATAACCTCGTTTCCCAGGTTGCTGGAATTTTTTTTTGCCTAAAGATACATAAAAGGAGAGACCATTTTCAAGGATATTTAGATTTAAATGGACCTTCTTCAAGACCAGGGTTATTATTCGGAATGCAGCAGCAAACC